CACTAGATTGATGAATCTAGGTTTGTTGTTTGTTTGATAATAATAAGTGATTACTATAACTGATAATATATAATCAAAATGATGAAAACCTTCCACCTGCTTTTCTTTTTACTTCAAAGGTGCAATCGTTATATATACTATAATATAAATAGAATATAAATACAATAAAATAATAAAAACAGAGCTCTTCATATACCAAATGAAGAAATAAAAATGATATAGATACATCAACCCAGAGACTATGCATTTTATCAAAGTTATCAGCTTATTAATTCATTGAACCTTATTTACAACATAAAATCTGAAACAGAACATTATTTATGCAAATGAAATAATTAAATTGGGGATGAAACTGTTTGGAGGTGATGATACAAATAATAATATTCATATTATTATTTAAATCTACCTGATAAAAATTGTAAACCAAACAAAAAGATAAATACATACTTAGAGATGACAGAAGGCCAAAGTCCTTGATATTCCAAAAATATTTCCCCAACAGAATCATCCTGAAACAATTTAGATTTGCATTAAACTGATATTCTAATCAAAGAAATAATTAAAATTTAACTACACAAAAAAGGAAGTCACTTGCCTTCAATATGTTGTAGAACTTTGCCAAACAAGAAATGATGATACTGAGAACCAACGTATCCTAAAAATAAAAAAAGATTTTAAAGTTATATGTCATACAACAAACATCTATCAATAAAATAAGTAACAAGTTGAAATGATTTGGAGCAGTTTAATGTTAAATTTGCTTGAACTGGAATCAGTATTAGATGCAAGTTTGCTTTTTTCCTCAAATTTAATAATTAAATTTAAATAATTAATTAATCGCAAATACAAACTGAAGAATAATCACTACTTCGTTTGTATTGCAATAAAAATTGAAATTTTTCTGAGCGTCCATAGTGCGATTTTGTAACAATTCGAAAAAAATGCAAGTTTGAAACAAGCTGAAGTCAATATGACAAGTTTATTATTTTTTTTATCATAATCTAGAAGCGGTCTGGTTTTTCTTGTAAATGTAGCACCAGAGCTACATTAATTGTCTAACAGCAACAGTAAAATTAATGATGATTTGAAGACAATCATGATCATAGTTGGCCAGACAGCCCAATGTGGGCCAATGTCTTCCTCTTTCTCCACAACGACTCTCGATTTATCTTTGATCTCCAATTCTTTTCATTAATTGCAAGAAAACCAGACTCCATAAAGTAAGCCTATCTCAACCGTGGCCTTCCCCACTTTCTTGTTCCAGTGGGTCTAAAAAGCAGTATCTCTTTTATTATATTGTCATCATTCATTCGAATCACAAGGGCCATCCAATCCATTCTATTTAATTTATGTATTTAATATCGGGTAGTTTATAAATCTTGTACAGTTCAAAGTTAAATCTCCTCCTACTTATTGTTTTCATTTACACCACCAAGTACACTCTGCAAAATCTTTCTCTCAAATCTTTGTCCTCAAATTTGAGATTTGACGACAATTCTGATTCTACAGCAATTTAGATTGGAGGACAGATGGTGATAGCGTTTTTGGGCCACTGAACCGTCTTACTTAACTGTCCAGCTGAGCATCTATTTTTTTGTGTCTCTAAAGTCATGAATTATTTACCATGTAAGAAAATGCAATTTTATTGAGCACCCAATTTTTGCATGTGGAATCAAACCCAACCTTCCACTACAATGGACGAAGACACAAATTACTATACTGACATGCTGTGTGTGGAGCTAAAGCCGTTTAAAAAAAACAGCAAGCAAGAAAAGAACTTGATTGAAGAACATTTGAACAAAAAAGCTTTAGATTAAAGATAAATTGAAGCTAACCACATTGCTATAAAAGTAAAATTTCTGATACAAACATAGACTTTGCGGCATGAAAATTAAAAAAAAAAGTTAGAAAAATATACGAATCTATGCCAATTTATAAATACGTAAAAATGTGTTATGGCATTTTCCTTCACATTTAGTTTTTACAAAAAAAAATTGCTAGGTGAATTAAATAATAAATCAAAATTACTACAAGTTCCATGTTTTAAATATAGTCAATAAAAAGAAGATAGGATAACAACAAAACAATGATGCCTACCTTTAGCTTTTTGATAAACTGGTATAGTTGTTGCCTGAAAATAGAAAAAAACATTGAATATCTTTTTCAAAGTTAAGTTTGCAAGCATTTTTAACAAGAAGTAACAAGATCTTCTATAATTTACTAACTAATAATATTAACATACTGTTTTGCATACAAATTGAGAGAATGTATAACAAAACTTAAAATTTGTAACACAGTAACAATGTAAGCAGCTTTCAAAGCAGATAATGGAACTGAACCAAATGTTCTGTTTTAGTTTGCATTTTAGGTGAAGTTGAATGTTGATTTCAACATTTGTTACTATCAAACATTTGTTTGTCACATTCACAGAAAAAATTGCTTTATGGTGGTTAAAATTGAAAATATATGCCTTTTATAGTGTCAAAAAAATTATCTAAGTTTTAATTGTTAACAGCAAATCATGTTTTTAAGTTGAGAGGAAAATTAAGCTGTTTGTGACAGTTTAATGTTTCTGAAACTCTCTACAGTTAACTTTGACATTAGAAATTATAACAAAAATGTGTGTTGTTCTGCATGCTTATTTTTCTTAAATGCTGTTTCTTAANAATAAAAATGTGAGCATAATACAGGCTTGCCAGCTACTATCTTTTTTGTTAAATATTTTATAAAATGGTAAACATTTAAAAACCAAAAGCTTTCAGAATTTTTGGTAATTTTGATAACATTTTAAAAGCCTCACCATGAAAAAGCTGGCACAAAGTGTTTTTAAGTAACAGAAGGTAGATAACTTCAAGTTACTGGAAAATCAATGTTGCTCTCTTATTTTTTTACTCTTATTCTTTTGTATGCATTGTTTCTTTCTCTCTTTATTTATTTTTTTTGCAGAACCTAGCTTATAGACTAATCACTATCTATGTTTCGTTAGCTGCTGTGAAAATACATGCTGAAACAATAAAAATGTGAGCATAATACAGGCTTGCCAGCTACTATCTTTTTTGTTAAATATTTTATAAAATGGTAAACATTTAAAAACCAAAAGCTTTCAGAATTTTTGGTAATTTTGATAACATTTTAAAAGCCTCACCATGAAAAAGCTGGCACAAAGTGTTTTTAAGTAACAGAAGGTAGATAACTTCAAGTTACTGGAAAATCAATGTTGCTCTCTTATTTTTTTACTCTTATTCTTTTGTATGCATTGTTTCTTTCTCTCTTTATTTATTTTTTTTGCAGAACCTAGCTTATAGACTAATCACTATCTATGTTTCGTTAGCTGCTGTGAAAATACATGCTGAAACAATAAAAATGTGAGCATAATACAGGCTTGCCAGCTACTATCTTTTTTGTTAAATATTTTATAAAATGGTAAACATTTAAAAACCAAAAGCTTTCAGAATTTTTGGTAATTTTGATAACATTTTAAAAGCCTCACCATGAAAAAGCTGGCACAAAGTGTTTTTAAGTAACAGAAGGTAGATAACTTCAAGTTACTGGAAAATCAATGTTGCTCTCTTATTTTTTTACTCTTATTCTTTTGTATGCATTGTTTCTTTCTCTCTTTATTTATTTTTTTTGCAGAACCTAGCTTATAGACTAATCACTATCTATGTTTCGTTAGCTGCTGTGAAAATACATGCTGAAACAATAAAAATGTGAGCATAATACAGGCTTGCCAGCTACTATCTTTTTTGTTAAATATTTTATAAAATGGTAAACATTTAAAAACCAAAAGCTTTCAGAATTTTTGGTAATTTTGATAACATTTTAAAAGCCTCACCATGAAAAAGCTGGCACAAAGTGTTTTTAAGTAACAGAAGGTAGATAACTTCAAGTTACTGGAAAATCAATGTTGCTCTCTTATTTTTTTACTCTTATTCTTTTGTATGCATTGTTTCTTTCTCTCTTTATTTATTTTTTTTGCAGAACCTAGCTTATAGACTAATCACTATCTATGTTTCGTTAGCTGCTGTGAAAATACATGCTGAAACAATAAAAATGTGAGCATAATACAGGCTTGCCAGCTACTATCTTTTTTGTTAAATATTTTATAAAATGGTAAACATTTAAAAACCAAAAGCTTTCAGAATTTTTGGTAATTTTGATAACATTTTAAAAGCCTCACCATGAAAAAGCTGGCACAAAGTGTTTTTAAGTAACAGAAGGTAGATAACTTCAAGTTACTGGAAAATCAATGTTGCTCTCTTATTTTTTTACTCTTATTCTTTTGTATGCATTGTTTCTTTCTCTCTTTATTTATTTTTTTTGCAGAACCTAGCTTATAGACTAATCACTATCTATGTTTCGTTAGCTGCTGTAAAAATACATGCTGAAACAATAAAAATGTGAGCATAATACAGGCTTGCCAGCTACTATCTTTTTTGTTAAATATTTTATAAAATGGTAAACATTTAAAAACCAAAAGCTTTCAGAATTTTTGGTAATTTTGATAACATTTTAAAAGCCTCACCATGAAAAAGCTGGCACAAAGTGGCGATGCATATGAACTTTTAAACCATTTAAATTTATTTTACAAACCATAGTGGTGTGTAAAATAAGTTTAAAAGAACAAAAAATAACACATTAAAACAGTAATTTAGCTACCACTAGAATAAATTTTTACAAAAAATGCAAAAAGTTGGCAGCCTTGATAATACAATATTTTTTTGTAAATAAAAATTTTATTATACAGTGTTTCTCAAAAACTGTAGACATATACCAAATGAATTAAAACCAAATTATATTTACTGAGTAAGAAAAGAACTAAGAACAAGCATCAGAAAAAAGAAAAAGATTTTTAAATCAATAATATCGGATAGCTTTTTTTCCCTTTTTTTTTAATCAATAAAATTTATTTGTCTTAGTTTCTTTTCAAGCTAAATAATAAAAATAATACAAATCATTTTACATGCAAATGAAAGAAAATTTCTGAAAGAAGTTGATACCTGCATATATCCATCGCTTTTAGGTTCCACTTCAATTAGCTTTTCCCATTCCCTAAAGTTAAGCAATACAGCAGAGCATAATTCCATCAAATTTGGATCTGGTGGTACCTCTTAAGAAATATGTAAAAAAGAAAACTTTTTTTAAATGGGCAAAATAAAACCAAGAATAAAAATTAAACCATATTTATACCAACTAAAATACATCGTAAATGACTATTTTATTATTGGTTAAACTAATTCTTGTCTACTTTGAGATTCTTTTTAAACTGGAAATCAGATGTTAAAGGAGGGTAGATGTAGGGAAGAAAATCCTTAAACATAGGTACATCATCCCTGCATATTGGTCCAATAGATCCATACATAATCCCTTTTTAAACATTTTAGCTTAAATTCTAAACTAAGAAAAACGTTAGTACCAGCTCATTTCCAACAAATTAAAAGAATAGAAAAACATTTTTTTTAAACAAATAACCAAACAACTGAGGTCAATTGTTTGAAATTTTAAAAAAATCAGTCTGCTGGATCTATGTCTAGGTGGTTGTGAATCTTAACTTTAGAGAACTTTAAACAGAAAACAAATAAAGATTTACCCCTTTCTTTCTTGTATGATGCAAGCAATGTCATTATTCTCTGGACAATTTCAGCCCTATAGGATGATGACTGACAGAAGTGGAATGGGGAATCCAATACTTCCAGCAAATCTACCCTGAGGTGCTCCCAGTTTAAAAATCGGCTCAATCTCGGAGACGTGTTGCGTACTTCAGTTTGTATCATCTGATACAGAAGTCTAGCTTCATGATATTTCTGTGAAGAAATTTTTTTTAGTTTAGTTTAGTTTTCGATTTTCCAATAAATAACTGCACACATCATCACTTTAAAAACATCAGTAACATTAATATTTAAAATCATAAAAATAGTTGTTATATTCAAACTAAATATATAAATAAGATATTATACTGCAAACCTTTATATGTATAAAATAAAAAATTTAAAAAATACAATATTTCTGAAAATAAAATTTGGAAGATTTTGATCCAAGAACTAAACACCAACTAAACACCAAATTAAAAATATAAATACATAAGGTTATAGATTTGTAATAAGTATTACATATAATACATTTTTAAAATTAAATATTAGAAACATTTATTAAAAAATTAAAACAGTTTCAGAAAGTTTTACATTTTCTTTACAAAAGCTTTTATGTTTACCTATAATATACATAATCATACTTGTGAATATTGGAGAAATAAAATAACAGAGATTTTACTAACAAAATTTTTTTAGGCTAAGAGTTAAGTTTTGATACATCATGCATAATCTTGTTAGTCAAAAAGAGAAATTCAAAATTGGAAATATGAGCACTAAAATTTAACGAAGTAAAAAATATGTATAAAAAGGACTTTTACAGACGACATATTAAGGGAATTTTGACTTGCTAAATAAGGAATGTTTTGCAATATGAGTAAACTCTTTTCATCATATTATCTCTAATGTTTCTCTCACAATGAAAATTCAATTTTATTTTGTCTATTTTCTTAATAATTCCATAAAAATCGTATAATTGTTTTTATGTTCTAAATGAATCATCTGCATTTTAGTTGTTTTCTATGAGAAAACTAAATTTGATATAAGAAGTGTTTCAAATTAGAACATATTTCTACTGTAATCTCACATCTGATAATTTTAACATGAAAAACTTCTGATTTAAAATATACAGAAGATTTGAAGAAGCAATAATAATATTAGTTTTTAAAATACAAGAAAGAATAAATAAATAATACATTTGTTGCTTCAAATTGTTTTATTTTGAAAAAATTTCTCATAATCCGTGAATGTTAGAATATTGTAACTATAGAACTTGAAAATATAATTAAAAATGTAACAAAAATAATTATAAATGCTAGGAAAAATGAGAAAATATTCATTGATTTTATTTAGTCTGTCTCTTCTACTTTCTGGCAATCAGGAGATAAGTCCCTGACCTAACTGAAAACAACCTCAAAGAGAGCTTATCTCCTACTTGCCAGACAATAAATCTTTTAAATTCTTCTACATTGATTTTGATTTCATTTTTAGAAGAAAGAACAAAATACAAGAAAATACAAAATAAATACAAGAAAGAACAAAACAAAAAAATATATACATATGTCGTTTTATGTAAAAAAAAAAAAAACTTTCTTATTACCATTAAATGTTAGAATTTTGTAACTATACAACTTTAAAATAATGGAAACTATAAAAAAAATTATAAATTTTGGAAAAAATGTCAAAAATATTCATTGATTTTATTTAGTCTGTCTTCTACTTTCTGGCAGAGATAAGTCCCTGACCTAACTGAAAACAACCTCAAACAGAGCTTATCTTCTGCTTGCCAGATAATACATCTTCTAATTTTTTCTACATTAATTTTGATTTTATTTTTAAATTTGAAATTCTAAAGAAAAAATAACAAACCTTAATTGCTCTTAATTCAGCAGCTTTCGCAAGCAATATGTGAATCATTTCTTGGTCTACATTCATAGGAACATTCTTTAAAAATATGCTAACTGCAACTGGAGACTCCCACTAGAATAAAAATAATTTTAGTCTAAAAAATTCAATCAAAAATAAAACAGAAAGTGTGTGTTCCAACATAAAAATTCTTTTAGAAGAAACTTTGTTTTTCATTCGGTTTATAAAAAATTAAAAATTTACTACCACATTAATGGATAAATTTATTGCACATTTCAAAGTTAGTAAGATACTTCTTGATTAATAATAGGATAGACAAGTAAAAACTGAAAAAATTTGTGAAAACTTATAAATCTTAAAAGCTAAAATTATCCATAAATAATTAATTCAATGCAGGCTAAATAATATAACTTTATCTCAAGACTAACTTAAAATTGTGAAACTATCAAAAATGGTTTACCTAGCAAAATTGGTAATGACAGTTAGCCTGTAAATTTACTACTATTGTTCATTAGTAAAAGAAAATTTAAATTTAGAAGACTATAATAAAAATTCAGAACATTGAATAAAACAAAAATCTTGGTAACTCTAGTAAATACAGTAAGACTTGCATATAACGAATGACACAGAAAACAAAAAAATTCGCGTTAGATCAGGTCACTCCTTAAATCAGAGTTAAATTCACTACAAAAAAATTAAATTACATGAATTTCTTGTGATATTTTACATATTTTAATTACATAAACAATGTTTTCTTCTCCTCTACTTAAGAGTTTTATAGTTTTAACTTCTTTATTTACAGATAAAACTTTTCTTTTCAACATTTTAAACAGGTGAATAAAAAGAACGCTTTCAAGAAAAAGTAAGCGTTGGGAATGAGATTTTTCTTACATGTGACTGTGAAACTGGAAATGCTTCTGCAATCATTTAGTAAGTAATTTAAATCCCCTCAAAACTCTTTCCTTACTTTCTAGAAATGAGACAATATGTTGCCCTGGTGTCCAGTCTCAGTGGTATTCCCCTTCTCCGTGAACGTTGCATTACTTAAATTTAATGCACAGCTCACAATAAAAACTTGCATAGTACACTATCAAATAACTAAAACTGATAGTGTACTATGCAAGTTTTTTTAAGTTTTTTGTTAATTTTGATACTATTTAAAACACTGTATTATACAAAACATTCCATTTCACTTGTTAAATCGAAGGTCACTATAAATGGGTTAAAGCTGCCATCTATTAGTAAAATAACAGATAGCAGTCATTAAGACATTAATGCAATTTTCCATTTCCAAGGGGTTAAATGCTTGCAATGGGATAGAGAGTAAAATATGTAGAAAAAGACAGAAATAAGAAGTAGGGAATATAAAAGCTCATACCTTTTTATTCAGTGTCCAGAGGTGTTGATAGTTGTGCTTAGTAGAATAAAACTTGGTGTTCCTCAACTGATTCACAAGGTGTTTTGTATTTACGGCTTCAGAACAGGTGAGTAAACGTCTTTCCAAAGCTGCTACTTGAACATTAATGTCATCTAAGTCGAAAAAAATAATATTAAGATGGCATACAATAAAAGATAATAAAAATTTTAAAAAAAAACCTCACAGATTTTTCTTTTCATCAGAATTTAAAATTCTAACATTTACCAATCTAGCTCTTGCTTTTTTGTAACAGGCAAGCTTTTCTTATTCCATGAGCAACCACTTTAGCAGTGGAATGCAAACATTTCAAAACTTCTTTTCTGTCATTAACTCTCCAAATGTTAGACCAGGCTTTTCTGCATGAAACAACCTGTTTTTCACGAGTCATTCAATGAAAAAGTAGTGCATTACAGGGAAATTTTAGCTCAGAAACCATCCTTTAAATCGGAGATAAAGAAAAACTCGGTAAATCATGAAATTCGGTAAATGTTAAATTGGGCCCAATTGTATCCATCTTCTTTATCCTAAACCAATGTTTCCCAAACTTATGACTTTTGTGTACCCTTTCTAAATTTTTCGTAACGCTGTGTACCACTAATAAAAAAATAAATGTATTTTTTACTATAAAAAAATTGCACAAAAGTTAAAAATCACAACAGGCTGCTGACACCTGTTAACTCTGCAAAAAATAGCCAATAGAAAAATACGTAATCGTAAATTCTACCTTTGTTTTTAAATAAAATTTTTTGAAATTTTCGTTTGTAGCAAGATATTTTGCATAAGAACGTGTACCCCTGCTGAACTATTCCTGTACCCCTGGGGGTATGCGTACCACACTTTGGGAAACACTGTCCTAAACTATTAATTTTAAATTTTTTAATAGAGTTTTTTTTACAATATATTTTTTTAGCTTATATTTTAGCTAACTATTTATTTTTATGCCACTTTAGTAAGGGCAAAATGAAATTCTTATATTAAATTTGATTTTTATTTTTTGCACCTACAGTTTTAATATCGAAAATTCTCAGTTCAAGTATTAGGTTATCATTAATATTTAAGAGTCACAATGAAATGAGGTACAGTTGAAAAGATACATAGGCATAAAATAATACTATTCTAACCCCGTATATAATAATTAAGACAGTAATTTAGATATGGAAGACTTAGCAAAATTGAAAATAAGAACATCAGGATAATTAATATAATGTTCTTAAATTTTAAGACTTACTCCAAGTGAGTTTTGCAAGACAATAGATTCAAAAACCAAAATGCTAAAACTATTACCAGTAAAGCTTTTGTCAAATTTATATGTTTCTCTTTTTGCAGTGGGACCATAAGCAAAAAGCATTTCAAGTTCTTCTCCTGTAAAAAGGCCCAACAGATGTTTGTCATATTTCTTCATCAGTTGCTTGGCAGGAATTGATGTCAAACATAATGACCTACAGAAATAAATTACAAGAATAAATATTTCAGACAGTTAAAAGCACACACATAAAATTTCAGATAATTTATATTAATAAGGCATTCTTCTAATGTTTAGCTCATGTTGAAATAATGATTGGTAACGTTCGAGTAGCTAGTTAAAAAGGGAATTGAAATTTTGCTAATAAATAACAGAGAGGAACCATTTACATCAATAAAAATAGTAAAAAGAAAGTTACGAGAAAAGTCATGATGCTAAATTTCCTGAAGAAATTAAGAATCAGAAGTGATGGAATTTGAATTGTAATATTTCAGATTCTCTAAGATCCATCCTACTTTTGACATTTGATTGAAGACCATGCCTGATTGTCTGGCTATACACTCGCACCCATGGGTGCAAGTTGGAAAAAAGGCCAAGACTGAAAATTTTTTGACTGAAATACCTAACATACACAATACCCCCTCGACATATGCAAACTATCTAAGAAAGCTTTACCATAATACATCAAGTTTAAATACTGTACAAAAAATATTTATTCATCTGTCTTTTGATAAAATAACAACAGGACATAAGAAAGTAGACCAATAACGTAGACCTAAAAAATATTTTTAAGGAAAGAAAAAAAAATTCCGATTTCCGTCTTTGAGTCAGTCTTGTTTCCGTCTTACTTCTATCCGCGGACATTTTCGAAAGACGGAAATCCGTCCTGGGGACGGAAGACTTGCACCTATGCTCGCACCACGTTAGTATAGATGATTGTCTCCTAAGTGCTTGTGCAACCTAAGTTCTTGCATCGACAGAGATCATTTGCTAAAATTTTCTTCGTTTAGTTAAGAAAACATATACAGTTGATTTTACAGGATAAAGAGTTGAAGCAGCTGCCATCCAATGACTTCATATTTTTTTATGTTTGAAATATAATCATATGGTTTTGAATTTTTTCCCAGTTTATTAGTTAGCAATTGTAATGAGATTAAATATAATTTTGTCCTTACATAATTTTATTTTAATGCTTACCTTTAGTCTCCAATTTCATGCATCTTAGTCGCATGGTTACCCATACTGTAAAATTAAATGCTTTATAGTATCATGTGGTTTAGAGTTTAAAAACAGAAAATGCGGAAGTATATAAGTAAGCAAGTACAAACATTTTACTTCCAAGTAATGATTTTCAACAGAATAACAATAACAACAAAAAATTGTTTATTATGTAAGAAAATAAAAAAAATTATCAGGCATTTTCTCCAACGTGAGCAGTTGGAAGTTGATATTTAAAAGACTAAAAGTAGAAAAAAGTATACCTAGCAAAGTTTTTCAGATAATTTTTCATCAAGGGAGTGGCAGTTGGAATGACATCTTTCAACAACTGAAACATAAAAAAAGGAAATATACTATAGAAACAATATTTTTTATAAAGTGTGATGATGCATGTAAAAGATACAGTGATTTCCATTACCCATTATAACATGTTAAATATACTAAAAACCATAGACGATATGAAAAAAGTAGTTATGACAAATCCTTTGGAATGCTTAATTCTTCAGCGATTTAAAATTCAGAATAACTCTGAGTATCAAATTATATTGTTATTTTTTCCTGATGCAAGTGACTGATCAGTTTTAATTAAAAGTCATGACTGAGCTAATATTCTTGTTCGAAATTCTGGAATAATTATGATTGTGAATAATGATAGAAAAAAGGTAGAGAATCCATATTTTAAATAAAAATCAGCTATTGGTGAAAAATGATCTAGAAATATGAAATTCTGGGTCCTAAAGAGTTATAGTTTCTAGAATCTAGCAAAATTAATGAAATATACACGCAAAACATAAATAAAAAATTAAATTAATAGATAAAGAAATATGAACTTTTCTTTCTTCCTGCTAGTTATTTTCATAGCGAACATTCAACAATTTTTGCCAAGAAAATAACAGATTATAATTTAGGTAATAGAAAACTTAGGCTTACTAATTTATTTTAAATATTCAATTAAAAAAATAATACTTTAACAGCAATACTTACTATTTGAAAAAAATTATTTCTGCGTTTTCTTGATTTTTACAAGCATACAATTATATTAAGTGCTAGTTTTGGTGATTGAATTAGTAAATAAAGTTGGCTAAAGTAATAAATTTAGCAAAACATATTTCACACCAGTAGAAGTTGAACTTAGTTTATTGTGGTTTGCATAAAACCAAATTAAAATATAATAATACAGAATTTACTTATAATTGATTGGTTTTTAAACATTGTTGTAAGCAACAAGAACTTAATTGTATTAACTTAAAAAAATACTTTTAAGAAAAAGTTCTAGGCTCCCTAATTATTATTTATTACACCAATGATTCACATATTTCATTTAAATAATAAATAACCGAATCACAAATAATAAAAATAAAAATCACAAAAGAAAACATATGAATGTTATTTACAAATCTAGTCAAACTCTGAGTGTTATTGTCATATAAGAAGTTTCACTTGAAAACTAAATATAAACAAGTCAAAAATAAATTTTTTTAATGAATAGAAGATTCCTTCTAACAGTTTCACATAATTATGTGAATGTGACACTTATCTGAAAATTAATTAAATCCCCTTGAAATTAGTGCATAATCAAAAGTGTACACAAGTTTAAAAAATAGTTAGTACACAAATTTTTATAAACTACATTATTAAAAGAGTACTAAAAGGGGTAAAACAATTTTATTTTCTCACATCTAAAACTGAATGAATGAAAAAAGTTACTTTAATTTATTTATTTTTTAGATATGAAATAACATGTACCCATAGATGACGGAATTAGAAAAAAATAATTTTTTTTAAGAAAATAAAACAATAATTTTTTTTTTAAAATTAAAAACAACATTTTTCAAATAAAACTTAAAATTGTATTAAAATTTCATCCCTAAAATTCGCAATAATTCACAGAATTTGTTAATTAGTATAAAGAAATAATTGTAAAGATACAGTCATGATTTTTAGGATTTATTTTAAGCTTGCAGGTAGGTAAAACCTTATATCTAAAAAGTAAAATATTTCTTATTCAATATAAAAGCATAAGTATTTGTTATCATATGTAACTTTACGTCAATTTTTTTTTCATTGCAAATATTGACAAATGGCAAATGACTAATTAAATATGTGTTGTGTGATTGGTATTTATTAACTAACATATATTCAAACTAATAGCACAAAGACGTCCCAAAAAACAGATGAAATGATGATTACCTCACACAGTATAATCGATGATTTTTCCTCATACATCTTCAGCAATGAATTCCAATTGCTTATAACAACCTCTCCACTGAGTGTCCGCCTAATTGCATTGGAAAATACTACATACAGCAATAAATCAACCTTCCTAAAACACAGTTTTAATGTCATTTATGAAATTTTAGACGATCAACATAGTAACTGAAAAAATAGATAAATAAAAGATAAAACAAAATAAAAAGACATAAATGCATGTTTGTTACATTTTTAAATTGAAATAATTAGACATGGACAGGTTGTCCTAAATTTACTTAGTACTCAAAAATTAATAACAAGTACAGATTAAAAACAATAGTAAGTATATAACAATTAAAGTAAATAAAAAAGAACCCTCAAACAGCAAGTTAATGTTTCAACATTTTTCAACCAGATTTTCCGGGCTTAGTTAAAATAATTTGATGGATGGCAATGTAAATAGTAATCATGCGAATCAAAGACAAGAATTGAAAATCACATCACAAATTTTCAAAATCTTTTAATGAACAAAAATCATTATTTTCGAGAAGTCCATCAGGAGCCAAAGTAATATGTTGTGATTAGATAAGTTGTTTTTCAATTGATTTTTGATTGAAAAATCAATTTATAGGTTTACTATCTACAGCCTCATCTATTAAAAAATTTTGTGCTAAATCTGGGAACTTGGAGAGAAAAAAGTATGCCCTGTCACATGAATTTGCTGCAAGAATTGAATTTTTTTACCCTTAAGTTTTTTTATTTTAGTCAGCCTAATTTAGGGCAATTGTATAACTTTATTATTATTCAAAAATTCTAAATACATATTAATTATTGAAAAAAAAATTAACATTTTGTTTCCTTAATTTAGAAACTGTTAAAAAAAACTGACACTTAGAACTAGGCTGTGTTANAGTCAGCCTAATTTAGGGCAATTGTATAACTTTATTATTATTCAAAAATTCTAAATACATATTAATTATTGAAAAAAAAATTTACATTTTGTTTCCCTAATTTAAAAACTGTTAAAAAAAACTGACACTTAGAACTAGGCTGTGTTATAGATCCCTCACTAGGTGATTTTTTTTAAAATTATTGTGAATAGTGACATAAAAGCTGGCTTTTTTAGAGTAATATGCTTTCCTAATGCTAAGTCCACTGTAAAGTTAAATCAAACTGTCATTGTTTATCTCTAAAACAATTCTAGAAACATAATTTTGGAAAAGAAAAATAGCATAAATTATCTCACCCTTCATAATCTCGTAAAACACTTAATTCAACACCATCTCTCAAAGAAATGGGAAGTTCCATTTTCAAATTATCACTTTTCAATATTTCAATAGTTTTCTAAATAAAGAAAATTTGTGTAAACATCAGATGACGAGTTTAAATACAAAACAAAAAGAGTTTTCTTAAAAAGTACTAAAATGTGTGTTAACTTTCTCTAAAAAAAGCGCAAAAATATTACAACTGTGAGTATAAGTTTTCTACAAAGCTAATAACAACTGAACTTTTTATTATTTATAAATACTGCATGCAAATTTTTCTCCATTAGAATATCCATTTAGAAACTACAGGCTATTGCTTATAAAAAATCAGATTAATTATTAAAAAAAAGAACTAATGGTTAATTCAAAAATAAGAAATATCTTATGTCTTTTATTGAAATTAATAACCATTAACCCCTTGATATATCATTAAACACCTAAAACTCTAAACTGAGCGGTATTATTAATTTCTTGATATAGAAATGATCTTTGATTGCACTGTAAACAACAACTGCTCCAGACACGCCAAAATAATTTTTTTTAAAAATGATAAATAACTACAAACTAAATTTGGAAATATTTGACTATTTTTGCTTGCCTTTTAAAAGGTATAGCATCACATAACTACTATAAAGTGGTGAATTATATAAGCCTAAGATTTATTTAAAAAAAGTGGTGGATAAAAATCTACTAATTTGAATTTATTAAAGCAAAAATCACAATTGATAAACTACCACTTTAAAATACTTATTTGCTGTCCGGAGCAAGTTGGCATCTCTGTGTTGAAGGCGTCTGGGACACGTCAATTATTGTTCTGACATAAGAAACAAATTACAGCTCCCAGAGGTCTTCGTATGTCAAGGTGTTAATGAAATTTAACCAAGTATAACTTTACACTACAATGAAATTAAAATGCAGCTGAATATAATAATGGCATTTTACTTGTAAATATGAAAAATTATTAATAAAACTTGCAAAGGAAACTTTCAAGACTTTTCTTTTTCAAACTAGTTTCATTAAAGGATCAAAAAATTAAAAATTATAAAGTTAAAATTAAACAGTAAAAAGGTACTGTTTCAAGGGGTAAAAACATTAGAGTCTTTTAACATTTTAAATTTTAAAAAAAAACATTTTTTTCTTTGGCTAAAACCTGTTTAAAACCAATATAGTTCAAAGATTTCTTTACAAATTAAGAAATAATGTACGTAAAATAAAAAAATAAAAAATTTCTTTTCCACAAAATAAAGCTAAAAATATGCTATATTTTAATTTTATAAAACAGAATGAGTGGAAACCTCAAGAATGAAGACATAAAATGTTCACAGAAGAGGTCTTAAATTATTATTGCAAACAAGAGGGAAAAAACCTATATAAAATCTAAGAAATCACTATTCAGGAAAGCCGACCTAAAACCTGTTTGATTACTGGAAGCGATAGCTAGAAGTATAAGAGCAATTATTAAAAACATTATTTCCAAGTTTCATCAGGCAGTTTCATCAAACTATTTTCGATGGCTTCAATCTCTTAGTATTGATAGAGCAAATTTTGATAACATTCTTTTTTTTTTTTTTTTTTTTTTTTTTTTTTTTTTTTTTTTTTTTTTTTTTTTTTTTTTTTTT